CACACCAACGTCTCCTACACAAGCTCAGCCGCATAGGGGTAAGAGGCAAGCTTTTGAAGTGGATTGAAAACTTTTTGGTCGGTCGGTCCCAGACTGTTCGTCTTGGTGGCCAGCACTCGGCAGAGGTGACGGTTACGAGCGGAGTACCTCAGGGCTCCGTTCTTGGCCCTATCCTCTTCCTTATCTATATTGATGACTGTATCCATGGATTGGACTGCAAGATTGCCATGTTTGCTGACGATATAAAGCTTTGGACCGTCATCCGCAACGAGGACGATGAAGCAAATTTACAGGCAAACTTAGACCGATTCGAAAAATGGTCAGGCCACTGGCTCCTCCCATTTAATGTTACCAAATGCAACATTCTGAGGAGTGGCAGAACCAGTTCTGCGCACCGGCAGACGTACTTTCTAAATGACACACCGCTGCCACTGGTAGACGTTCAGAAAGACCTAGGGGTCTGGATAACATCTTCACTAAAGCCATCATTCCACTGCTTGAAAGCAGCAAAATCCGCAATGTCCAGCTTATATCTCATCAAGCGGGCATTTGCCAAGTTCGATGAAGAGTGCTTCCGCAAGGTCTTCGGAATGTTTGTGCGCCCACAGTTAGAATTTGCCATTCAGGCCTGGAGACCCTGGACTGTTAAGGATCGTACCACCCTCGAAAAAGTCCAACGACGGGCAACCAAGCTTGTCAGAGGTCATAAAAACCTACCTTACGAAACCAGACTTTCAAATCTAAACCTCTTTCCCCTGGACTACAGACAACTCCGTGGCGACTTAATTCAAACGTTTAGAATGCTACGGGGTCAGGACTGCTGCCTCGCATCCGGCGACTTCTTTGAGCTGCCCACCACTACTAGCTTGAGAGGACACCCTCTGAAACTACGTGTGACAGGAGCGAGACTGGACGCAAGAAGGTCCTTCTTCAGCCACAGAGTGGTAAAGGCGTGGAACGCCCTACCTGTGGATGTCGTCATGTCCTCATCAGTGGACTCATTTAAG